AACCCGAGCAAGTACTAGCGGGGTGAAGATAGGAGCAGACACCTCTAGTACTGTCGGGGTGGCTTCTTAAGTTCTGAGGCACTTTTTTCCTGGGGCTCGAAAAAGCGCCCTGTGCGCCTTGGAAAAAATGAACCAGCGCCGGCCTCCTTTTGGTTTTCTGGTGAGCTTTTTTTTTTTTTTTTTTTTTTTTTTTTTTTTTTACAAAATAGAAACTCTATTAATACAAGCCGGGAAATGGGCCCTTCTGGCTGCTATTTCCCGCCATTTTGCTCTGGCAGCCGGCTCCCTAAACTTCTTTTTTTTTTTTTTTTTTTTACTCCCTAAACTTTTGCAGCAGCAGGGAAGCCGTGACTTCGAAAAAAATGGCTGGGCCAGGTACTGGTGGGTTTAAACCGCCAGTACACGGCGCCAGCCTTGCTGAAAAGAATCCCGTCGCCTTTCCGGAAAAGTTGGCGGCCAGGGGACGGTGATTAAAACAAAAAGGAAATCGGCAGCCGGCGTCGCGTTTCGTCCTCCTCTGACACGAACCTGTGGTCGATGTGAGGCTCGTACACTGGTGGTTTAAAGATGGTAACTCCCCTTTATAACCAGTTCCAGCGCCCAAATTGCATCCATGCCCAATCCGTGTCCAACTTGAGGAATATTCTACCTTTGCCTTTTTCTGAACGGAGATACATTTGCATTTCTCCAAAATTTTGAATGTATCAGGATCAGTCCCGGCTCAAGATACATTTAAAAGTTATGGAGGGGAGCGAAGTCCAAAGGAACAGGAGAAAAGGGAGCAGAGGGAGCAAGGACAGCAGAGAGTAGCCGGGAGAGGGGGGGAGGGGGAGGGGGAAGGGGAGCGGGAGGGGCGGGCGGGGAAGAGAGGAGTGGGAGAAGGGAGGGAAACGGTTTGGAGGATGGGAAGGATGGAAGGCTGGTACATTGAATAATGACCATTTCAGGTCTTTGGAGTCAGCAAGATCATGTTCTTTTCTTTTTTTTTTTTGTTTACCTAAAAAGTTCATCTCGAGTCCGTACAATGTTAGTCAGTGATAAAATTATATATTTATTATTTAAAAAAAAACAAAGGACTTGGTACAAGAAGTTCATTTTGTTATTAAATGAGTTCACATTGGGTCTCGCTCCACTACTCTCGACTCACGAAAAAGTTTCGTTTCGTGAGTCCTTGTAGAGCTGTCAGACGTGCAAAACTCTCGAAAAAAAAGTCTTGGCTCCACTTAGGGCCTCGCCACACCACTCTCGAAAAAGTGTGGCGACGCCCTTACTCTAGATGGGTTTGCTCAATATGCAGTGGCGGAATGAGACGAGCTCTCTGACTGCACTAAAAGACAGCGCCGCCCTGTTCTGATGGTCGGGGTTTAAGCGAAGATCTTTTCTATTTTCACAGCAATTTGCTTCTCGTATAGACGAAGTAGAAGAAATGTTAACAAACAATCGTATTTGGAAACAACGACTTGTAGATATTGGTACTGTTACTGCACAACAGGAGGTGCACTCTCGAAAAAAAATGGTTGGAGCGGGGGTACGAGGGAGGACAATGGAAAAGCATGTCGTTGCAGGCTAGGCACTCTAGACACTTCGAGAGTGCCCTTCGAGAGTGCTTTCTGACAGCTCTCGAAGGGCGTTTTCGAGAGCACCTATCTAGAGTGAGTGGAGCGAGGCCTTACTCTCGAAATTTCGAGAGTATAGAGTAGTGGAGCGAGGCCCATTTTGCAGCTCACAAGTGGACATTTTGGACTGTAGTCAGTCCAATATGCTCATGTTTGCTGTCAGATACATTTAATTTATTCACCTGAAAGTGCTGGTTAGTTGAAAATGCACCCCTGATGAGGCCATGGTTTCCAAAGAAAAAAAAAAGGAAAAAAAAAAGGGCACCCCTAACTTCTTTGGTCATGCAACGACCACTTGTGCAATGTATGATGCCCTGCATCATTCTCTCACCTGGGCCGAGGTCCCACTAGCAAAGAGGATTGGATAAATATCCTGAATCTGGACGTGTTTTATGCAGAGATGCAGAAAAGCAGTTCAATCTCGACAGTCTGCACCTTTCCACAAACAAGTCCAGATTCAGGTGTTCAATCCAATCCTCTTTGCTAGTGGGACCTTAGCTAGCCCCTGGAGAAAATATCTGCCCTCCCTCCCTCCCTCCCTCCCTCCCTCCCTCCTTGGTCCCTTTTCTTTCCCTGCTATCCTTCTACTAGTCCTTTCAGGCTTCAGCAATAAGGTTCCACTTGGATGGTCATTCAGTTTCAGATCCCAGCCCACAGTCCGCAGTGGCGAATCTCGGCAAGCGGAACCTCACCCCGGCCTCCCAAGTTACGATTCTTTTTTTTTTTTTTTTCAAAGCAAGAACAGCAAGTAACGATTCCCTTTTTTTTTTTTTTTTTTTTTTTTTTTTTCAAAGCAAGAACACACAAAAATTACACCCAAATGGGAGAGAAAAGGTAGATTGCACCCAGCCAACAAAACTCTGTGTGTGTGTGTGTGTGTGTGTGTGTGTGTGTGTGTG